CACAAGCATTGCAAGAATATTGTGCTTTACAGACATACGCAAACCCGATACAAAATATGTCCGATCGGGCCTGTGTCCGATCGAGTCCGTGTCCGATCGGTTATGTGTGCAATCAGGACAATCCCAATGCAGTGTCCAATCTTGCAATGCTTGTGTTCAATAATGCGGTGTCCAAAAATGCGGTGTCCAATAATGCGGTGTTCAATAATGCTTGTGTCCGATAATGCGGTATCCAATAATGCTTGTGTCCAATAATGCGTGTCCAATAGTGCGTGTCCAATCGAGCGGTGTCCAATCGTTACGTGTCCAATAGAAGGTCACCCCTTTCTGGGTGGTAAGCCGTTGTTTGGATCTTTTTTATTTTTAATAATGTGCACGTACTCTTGAATACGTCTCTTAGGAAATTGGTACCTCGATCGGTCGATACCTTTTCGGGTATGCCGTGGATTCTAGGATTATTCTTGTTACGAACATTTTTGCGACCGTGACTGCTTCCTGATTCGGTATGGGGATTGCCTTACTAAATTTCGTTAGACCGTCTTGGAACGTCGGTACAAGTATATTTCTTTCCCTGTGTAGTCGTTGTCAACGGTCCTATTATATCTAAGGCACATTTTTTCGAATGGCCTATCTGGCGTGTCTGTTATCACCAGTGGTACCTTGTTCTTCGTGACAATTTATTTTTCTGACACTTTTCGCATTTTGAAATGTGCTCTTCCACATCCTTCGTTAACCCTTTCCAATTATGAGTCAACCGAATTCTTCGTATTGTGCGTTCCACTCCTCGATGTCCTCCCACAGGCGCATCATGGTATTCGTACAGTATTTTCTTCTTTTCCTCTTCTGAATATTCGCGTTCCGTCGTTGTGTCTGTTTCTTCGACGGTGTGTTTACGTGTCGGCAACGTGTCGACTGAGCGCGTCAGCATTTTTGTTTATCTCACCTGCCTTGTGTACGATTACGTAGTCGTACTCCTCTAATTTTAATCGCCACCTTATTAGGCGCGATTTCTTCGGTCTCGCTTTGGGCGACTTCCTTTATGGTTACTCGCGGCATCGGCATCTCTATCGCCGCGTCTGTAGTATTTAAAATGCTTGCTGCGCATATAAAATTTTTTGGTTCCACCAGGCAATTTGACCTATGAATACCCCTGGTCGTGTGGTCCTCGGCTTGTATTGTGCCGATCATATTCTTATCAGTAGCCACTTGTACGATCGTTTCACTTCGTGGGTTTAGTGCTATTTTACAGTATGGGTACAGTTTTAAGACTCGCTGTCCTATTGTTACCTGTTTTCTTCCGTAGTTGCACTTAGCCTTTTGCTTCTTTACAAAATCGACTCCAATGATTCCATCATATTCCATTGGGGGAAGTCATCCTTCGCGACATACATGGCGTGTTTTATTCGTGCTTCTTTCAGCTTTATCGTCGCGTTGATTTTTCCTAAGGTCTTTACCTCGTGACCTGTTATGCCTGTTAACGTTACTTAGTTTTCTTTGATGAGCGTTTCGCCCTTTAAGTGTTTCACTTTAATTAGTGATATTGCGGCACCTGTGTCAAATAGCATCATGCTCACTTTTCCTCGCTTCGTTTCCTGAATGGGCAGGTTAATCAAATCTAAGCCCGTGTTACGTCTCGGTGTATCTTTCGCGTGTGCAACCTGATACTTGAATTTAAAACGGTCGGAAGCGAGGAAGCGCGTCCGGTTCGAGATTTAATGTTTTCACCCCAAGGTTTAAAAATTGAAAACCGTAAGCAAACGCGCGCCGTCGCTTCTGAACGTTTAACTTTTTAATATTAATAATTTTACACCTCTCTTCGCGTTCGCGATGCTCGGCGACGCGAGATACCCGAGCGGTAGCGAAAACGAGACAAACTGGGTCGATTCGCTAACTCGCCGGCGCTGATATAGACACAAAATCACACGCGTCCCGGTAACGCCGCTGTCCCCGCTGCCGTTCTCGTTAAAAGAGAGGTGCGCGACGACGAATACATTGATTTAAAACGGTCGTAAGCGAGGAAGCGCCTCCCGTTCGAGATTTCGTATTTTCACCCGGTGTAAAAATTCAAAAACCGAAAGCGGACGCGCGCCGTCGCTTCTGAGCGTTTAACTTTTTAATTTACACAATTGTACACACGTTCTCACGTTCGCGACGCTCAGCGACGCGAGATACCCGATCGGTAGCGAAAACGAGGCACAAACTGGGTCGGTTCGCTAACTCGGCGGCTGATATAGACACAAAATCACACGCGTCTCGGTAACGCCGCTGTCCCCGCTGCCGTTCTCGTTAAAAGAGAGGTGCGCGACGACGAATACATTGATTTAAAACGGTCGAAAGCGAGGAAGAGCGTCCCGTTCGAGATTTCACGTTTCGACCCGAAGGTCTAAAAAGTGTAAACCGAAAGCGGACGCGCTCCGTCGCTTCTGAACGTTTAACTTTTTAATTTACACAATTTTAGACCTATGCGCGCGGCCCGACGCGTACTCCAAGGTGCGTGCCTACCTCGACACGGGTGCACCGTCCGACGTCGGCGGAACGCGCGGTACACGTCGCGGAAGGATCCAACGTGGAACGGCATTCGGGAACCACCCCGCCAGGAAACACCCCGATGGATAACGCTTCTGTCTACACGCTAGAAGGGGGAGAAGAAGATTCCGTTAGAACGCGAGACAACTACCACGCGCTAACGTAGCGTAGCGAGAACGTGGCGTTAATCGTACACCGCTGCGACGGTGAAAAATAATGAGCCACCGAGAGGAGCATATACCAACCTGTGTGCACCTGCACTTACCGACGCCGCGGACCAAGGGGAGCCCCGCTACCACCCGGAGGAGGAGGAGGAAGAGGAGGAGGAGGACGACGGAGTCTC